TGTAACATGTATTAAATGTAATCACTTTTAAAATCTATCATCGTTCATTAGAAACAAAATGAGTCTTTTACAAATTTTAAAGATGTCCGTTCACGATGAGTATTGGTCAATATTTTTAGACTCCCACCTTTGTTAGAGAAATTAATTTTCTGAATTATTCAATTCTGACTTGAATAACAATATTTGCCCCTTTTCTTCATTAGTTCTAGTTTTAAGGATAATTAAAAGCTTTTGATATAAATATATTTTTTTATTACTTTTACGTGCCTTTCATATTTATTCTATAGTCGTGAAATATTAAATATTGCACACTGCCAGTTCCGCTCGCTCAATTTTACGAAATGATTTTAAAATGTCGACATACGTACATTTACGTGTTTTACTACTATTTTTCGACTTTTGTAATCTCTCACATAATAGAAATAAAACATTTAATAATGCGCGTTGTCATTTTTTTTGTTAAATACTTCATCCGAGCGAACGGTTGAATCTTCATATTCTTAATACACCTATTCTCTTCACTTCCATATTTATTGTGACTGTAAAACACTTTTAAAGAATACTTCCGTATTCCGAACTTCTATCTCTACGCTGTGCATATATAATGCTAATAATTCATATTCGCTCGATATGAGCACTTGACGGTAAACAAAGTGAGGAAGCACGAGTGAAAGACAGAAATTGCCGTAGGGAGGTATTCGCGTTTTCCTAATAAAAATAAAAATTTCTTATTTGTACATATATGAATATTATACTCGCCTATAAACAAAACCAAGAAAATCATAAACAGACGGAGCATGAGATGCGAGTCTCTCGACGAACGTGTAAAAAAAGGAAGAAATACTGGTTGGGTTTTTTTTTTGTTTTTTTTTTTTTTTTTTTTTTTTTTTTTTTTTTTTTTTTTGGGATCTGATCTCTTTCTGATGGAAGAAACGAAAGTAGCCAGAATTCCTGAGCGTTCTATCACCCATGAAATGCCAACGCGCAGACGCAAATAAAAGAAAAGGAGATTTTGCAATTATTCCTCCATTCATTTATTTAAATTTTCCTTTCGAAATATTATCGGCATTATGACTGGAAGTTGTTCGATCTATTTACGTCATACCTGACGAAAGATATAATTACGCGTTTTTATTTATAACTTCATTCGATAGTAGCGCGACAGACACAGCGACACTTTTATCCCGCGCATGTGCCATTGAAATTAATTAGGAACTTAGGAGGAATATTAAAAAATGGGGAGATTGTTTAAGCCCGTGATGTGTTCAGAATACGAAGATTTGACTGTATTTCTAAACAGATTTTTATCCGTTTGATATATTTTTAACGCTAAGTCGATAGCGATCGTTGATCATCTATGATGGATGACTGGCGTTGGATTCTTGTAGGCTTGATTACCTAGAATAT